GAGCTCGTCGTCGTCTCCGATCCGGTCGCACTCACGCACGCGCACGGCCGCGGGAGCCATTAGTATATGCCGCATTTCGTCGGGCGCGTAGACTAGTACGTCCAGATGGCCTGGATCACCGGTGGAGGCGGCAGTAAAGAAATCGGGGACACTGATTGGCCTGTCCACGCATCCGTCCGTCGGCCCGGCAGGCGGCAGCTGCCCAAGGGCCCTGGCGAGTAATGCCGGCCGTGCCCTGCCCGACTGGCTGAATAATTGGCACAGAGGATAGGATTCCATCTGTCTCTCGCCATTGGAGTGGGGGAGAGGCAGGCGACCTGCTGCCGCCGCCGCTTCCTGGAAGCTTCGTCCCGGACCCCGGCCCTCACGCGCGCGGCCGCCCGGCCACTCCGTTCCAGGCTCATCATTTTTAACTGCCTCGGTGCCTCCCTCTCCAAAGTCAATCGCGCTCACCTATCCCCTGTACGTATTGGGGGGCCACTGCGGCCCTTCCTCAGTTCATCCCGAGGGAAATCGGGAAATAGTTTAGCTTAATCCGGCGGGAGATCCGAGAGACACGGAGGAGTCGTTCATGTATCACAGCATCAGCTCAATCGACGTCTCATCATCAGGGGATTGGATTAGAGAGAGGTAATAGGCCACCTGTTGCTAGCCCTTCGGTGTCTGAAGTAGGCTAGTGATAGTTTAGTTCTTCGCATCTCAGAGAGGCCGGGCAAAGTATTACTGCTGCAATCCCTAAAAAAAAAACACTCCCGCCCCCATACATTTTACCATGGTTTCTTTTTCTGAGAAATGGCTTGATTGGCATAACTACTTAAACTCTATTCGGCGCCCACTAGTGAACCAGGCCATATGGAGTTACGCGCCCCAAGACTTACCGGTAACCGCAACCACAATTACGATCGTTATAAGTCCAACGATCAATCACAATCAAGTCGCTATTAATCAATCCAAACTGACTAAACCAGCCCACCCAACACCATGTCGTGGTGGTCGGGTTCGTCAAAAGCCTATGCACATAGCACTCTCACATCCACGCTCACGCACACGCCTTGCCATGGCTCGGTGGCGATGGCGGCGGCATGAGCGCGGCACGTCCATAGCCTTCCTTAACTTCTCAATAGGAGTACACTTAATGTAGTTATTGTGGCAGGTGGTGAGGTCGAAGATCGTGATGCTGAGGTCAGAGCCGATGTCATAGCTGTAGACAAGCATGTACCCATCACGGAGGTTATACGCGTGGGCGAAGATACTCTAGCCCCACGGAGGGACACGTGGTTGTTATAGTTGTCGCTGACAGCTTGGACGTCTCATTGTGGCATCCTCTGACGTCCCATTGTGGCATCCTCTGTTCCCGTCAAGTCACACCTTCAGTTCTCGGCGAGGTCCGAGTACCTTCCACATCCAGAATGGTCACTAGTTGTGAAGCTCTACAGCCTGTTCGGTTGGCTGGTTCGTTTCGTCGTTGGTTCGTGAAGAAGTATTGCTGACTGGTTTGTGTGAGAGAAAAATATTGTTTCGGCTGAAAATTTACGATCGTTTACGACAAGCCACAGCCAAACGAACAGGCTTAGCTTGTGCCATTTAATTCCATCTCTTGTCTTTATGAGCATTTTCTTAGGTAACATCATGAGATATAAGAATCCATTCTAATTGGCATCAACTTGTGGAGATCCATTCAATTGGTGCCAAATTGTGAAGATCATATTTCAAGTGCTATTTGTGGACTATATTTAAAATTTGGTATATCAAGAAATATGTCAATACAGCAAGAAGTTTTCGTAAGGTTGGCAATCACTGGATCCATGCTATTGGTGTGTTTAATGTGTGCTCCATCTTAATATTTTTATGTTTATTGCATTTTAATTACAACAGGGGAGAAGGAGATGGCATATCCAAGCCTTGTGAATGTAGAGTTCTTCAGGATCCTTGTACCTGGAATGTATGAGGGGGCATTGGTATGTGTTATTTCTCTCACAGGAAGATGTGAGGTGACAGAGATACCAACGAGAACTTGATCTATGCCTAATATGATGGACCTATGCGCATAGGCTTTTGACAATCACATTCTGATTATCACAGTTCATAGAAATATCCGGTATAGGTTTTTGAACCATCGGTAAATCAATAAGGAGTTCACGAAGCAACACGGTCTCAATAGTGGTGGTATACAATGCTATGAGTTATGCTTCCATAGTTGACCTCATTAAGATGGTCTGCCTGCAATACTTTAGTGAAACAGTGCCACCTCCAAGTGTAAACAAATATCCACTTGTGGCATAAATCTCATCAGTATGAGATATCTAGCTGGAGTCACTGTAACCCTCAAGTACCCTAGGATACCCAGTGTAGTGAATTTCATAGCTTATAGTACCTTTTAGATAGTGCAATACTCTCTCAAGAGCACGTCAATGATCATCTCCTGGATTTGACAAACCGGCTAAGTTTGCACACAGTAAACGAGATATCAGGCCTCGTTGCTCTAGCTAGATACATAAGCGAACCAATGATTGGGAATATCTCAATTGATCCCTTGCTATTCTTCGACTTTTCCTTAATAACACAATAGGATCATAAGTCGTTGGAGCAGATTTGCAGTCACTATACCCAAAGCGACTCAAACCTTTTCCATTGTAACCCCACCATATAGTGGGATTGCAGAAGTGTAACCCCACCATTGTCTTCTATCGATAGCTTGATATTAAGAATAACATCAACCACTCATAAATCCCTCATGTCAAAATTATTAGACAATAAGTCCTTAACCTCCTTTCTGCGTATAACCCTTAGCCATAAGTCTTGCCTTGTACTATTCCATAATACCATCAGGTCTAAGCTTTTTCTTGAATACACCCATTTGCATCCTACAGGTTTGCACCCGTAAGGACATTGAACGACTTCTCAAGCTCCATTAGACATCATACAATCCATCCATAGTTTTAAATCTCCCGCTATAGCTTCTCAAGCTCCATTAGACATCATACAATCCATGAATCCATCTAACTCTATATTGCTTCCTTCCATAAGTCAGCATCAGGGAAAGAATATGCCTCTTGAATGGTTCTTAGGGTGTCATCCACAAGGTACAAAATATAGTTATTACCAAAAACCTTTGCAGTCCTTTGTCTCTTACTCTATCGAGCAATTGTGTGTCATCCTCCTAATTTTAAGCATGAGGCTCCTCAATGTGTTATATCAAAATAAATTGCTCATATGGTATTATTGGTTCATGACTAGACGTGTTAGGTGTATGTTTCATACAAAATTCACTCTCAAAAAATGTAGTCTCTGGACTCCATAATAGTACAACATGCATGTTAGGTCCTCCAGAGTTTATAATTAAGAACCTATATACAATGTTGTGCTATAAAGAAGGAAAAATAGTCACCAAAACTTTATTAAGCAATGAAAAACTATTTACAAAAATCATTTTTAAGAAAAGTATTAAAATGCCATCAAAGAAAACTAGCTACCCACACTATTTGTGTGGGCCACCTTGCTAGTTTGTATTTCCTTCATTCCAAAAAACAATGCAATTCTAGCTTCATTCTCGATTAAAGTGCTAAAGTTTGACTAAATATATAGGTGAAAATTTTAATATTTATGATGTGAAATGATTATATTATGAAAGTATGTTTCACTACAAATCTAATTATACCTATTTAGTATGATAAAAAATTTTTGTGAACAAAATATTATTAATTATTAATATAAATTTGGTCAGACTTCACCTATTTTAACATAACACTATTCTATAACTGCATGCATTTTGGACGTACGGACGGAGTAGCAGTAACCTGTAGAAGATAATTAATCATTATATATATAGAACGAGAATAGTGGTACAGAGTTGGAAGATCATCGTGGCCAAGAACATTCTACTCGTCACAACAAATCGTAATTTTTTGGTACCCAACAAAGTGTTTTTAATTAAATCAACCATCATATACAATCGAACATCAACCAAACGAAATGATCATGGTTTCTTCAGTTTGACCCGGGAAAGTCCGTACTACTGGACACCCCAAAGTCCAGCAGATTATTTTTCTTCTTCCTTCAGAGTTCAGAGCTGCAGTGGCAGTGCATTGCAGACTTTGTTCCTTCGAAGCGTGCACGGACACAGCACATTATGCGATCGAGGACCACTGATGTTGCTTAATTAACAACTTAATTAATCGCCGGAGATGGAGTAAACCGAGCAAAGCAGACGCAGACGCACTTAGAGAATTTAATTAGTACGGGCTGGGAGAGCAGTAGCTGTTCTGAAAGCAGTCGCTGTCTTTTGCGCTGGACGAAACAAATACACAAGGCGGGGTCGCCGTCGGAGTCCCGGGCCTTAGCTGCGGGAAGACGACGTGGTTTCCTTTTGACTCCGGCGATGCATCCAATCCATCCATCCGTCCAAGGATTATTCGGCCTAGCTGCCAGCCTGCTTTCAGGCGGACAACCTAGCTGCTAGCTTACATACAATCCCAATCAGGGCCTCTCTCTTTCTTTTATGGTTCTTCTCCTATTGTTGGCTGGCTGGCTGGCTGGCTTATAAAAAATCTAAAGAAAAACAAGATGAAAAAAATGGTTTGGTTTTCCAATTAAGCAGCGCCACTTCTTTGTGGTGCTGCGCTGGGTCATCTGATGCCTACTGGAGTAGTAGCTTAGACTGAGTGACACCTACGCGGCTACGCCTAATTTTGTGTTTTGGTCTTGTCTTCCGGCTTCTTGGGATCCGGCCCTACTAGCTGAAGAAGAAGAATCTGTACACGGACTTGCGTTATCTTTCTCTGATCATCCCATGCCTGCCTGATGATGCCCGTCACCGTCCTCGTCCTGTCCGATGGCGGCCGCCACACGCGGCCGACGCCCAATCCCGGAAGCGGTTTTCGGCGTTCCTAGGTATTACTAGTAGTAGTACTAGCATATACCACCGTCCATCCATCCGCTTGTTTGTTGTTGGTTTTGGTGTGGCTCCGATCCGATCCACATCTCGGGCTCGGCTCATCAAATCAGTCCTTGCGAACGAAGGTCATGGGCAGGCCGTTGAGCGGCAGCGCGAAGGGGCCGAACTGCACGCCGCTCTCGGACTTGGAGGTGGACCACCTGTACTTGGTGGCGAGGTGGTGGAAGAGCACCATGCTCTCCAGCTTGGCGAGCTCGTTGCCCGGGCACGAGTGGGTCCCGTTGCCGAACGGCATGAACGTGTTGGGCTTGGGAGCAACCTGCATCACAGAGAGCCATTCAGATTGTTAGAGGACATGACATGCTCGATCGATCGGTTTTCCCTTTCCCACCCACATCAGTTGTTGAGAGAAACACAAATGGCGAAGCAGCAGCCGGAGAAACTGAGACTGACCTCGAATCGGGAGGGGTCGAACTTCTCCGGGCAGGGGAAGTGGTCGGGGCTGTGGTGGATGTTCCGGAACAGGGGCATCACCTTCCAGCCCTTGGGGATCAGGTACCCTGCAGCCAGCACACACAGCACATACGATGAGTTAGTCTATTCATTTCGGTTAGGAACCCGTCCCGTCCGTCCAGTTCATCCGCGGCAGCGCACGACAGGGACAGGGACAGGGACACACAGCCCCGCTTCCAATCCAGCGTGAAACGGTGGCTGGTGGCGGGAGCTGACTAGTAACTCTACTGGAGTATTTGCTATCGGGACGGACGTGACGCCTCACCTTGGTACTCCACGTCCTCCACGGCCTCCCGGAAGGTGAAGGACAGGATGGACGCCACCCGCATCGTCTCCTGGATCACACGGCTCGTCATGCGCATCCGCCTCGTGTCCGCCCACGTTAGGGGCTCGTCGGAGGACCCCTTGGACCGCGCGATCTCCTGCTGCTCCTCGATGACCGCCTTGAGCACCGCGGGGTGGTCGCCCAGGAACTTGACCATCCAGGTGAGCACGCTGGCGGTGGTGTCGCGGGCGGCGAAGATGACGCCGATCACGTTGTCCGCGATCTGGGCGTCGGTCAGCGCCTCGCGGTCATCCAGGAACGACGCCAGGAGGTCGCTCCCGCGCTGCTGCCGCTCGCGCCGGGCCTCGATGATGTGGGCCACGATGGCGCCCAGGCGCTTGCGGGCCTTCATGGCCTTGTGGAACAGGGTGCCCGGCAGGTTCACCGGCATCGAGTTGTACCCTTTCTCCAGCGTCAGGTAGCACTGCTTCAGCTCCTCGATGTACCGCATCTCCTCCTCGCCGAAGATGGACAGCAATGCCACATTCAGCGCGTACTGCAGCAGCGGGAGGTCACAGAATCAGCATTTGCAACGCAAGGATGGAAGGAACAGAGCGGCAGAACAGAGCATATCATGAGGAAGAAGAACAAGAACAACAGCAACTCCAGTCCCAACCCACCAGCTTCATCTCTTGGAAGGTGTTGACGAGGCGTCCGTCCCAGGAGTGGAGCGAGCGCAGCGCGATGGCCTCGATGGCCGGCACGGAGCCGCGGATGGCCTCGGGGGAGAACGCGCGGGAGACGAGGCGGCGGAGGTGGGCGTGGTAGTCGCCCTGCTGGAAGAAGATGGCCTGTGGCCCCAGCATGCGCTCCTTGCTCGCCGGGAACGTGGGCTTGAAGAGGTGCGCCTGCGTGACGAGCACGAAGCGCGCCGCCTCGGGGCTGGACACCATCACGCAGGGGCACCCCAGGATGTGGGTCTTGAAGATCTGCCCGTACCGGTTCTGCTTCCGGGCGAAGAACACGTTGGGGTTCTTGGACGAGTAGAGCTGGAACGTCTCGCCCACGTACGGCCACCCCATCGACCCCGGCGGCAGAGGCAGCGCCTTATTGCCGCACGCCGACGCCGGCGCCGGCCGCTTCCGGCCGCGGACGGCGCGGGCGAGCACGATCATCGGCGCCAGGAGGCAGACGAAGAGCAACAAGGCGCCCATGATGAAGGCTTTTGCCTTGCTCGCTCTCTGCTTGTTGCGGTGAAAGGAGGTAAGCAGCAGCTAGGAGGGAGGCGGAGGAGGAGACTGCAACCAACGGCGGACGAGGAGGAGGAAGGCAAGAGAAGAGATGGGGTGTTGGGGTGGAGGGAAAGGCGAGGGAGGTGGCAGCTATTTATAGATTGGCGGTGAGCCTTTAGTCTCTCCCCAAAGATCTACCACCACGACGCATCGGCATCGCACTCCAGGAGGAACAGGGGCCATGCGACTGAGCGAGCGAGGGGGGAATTATTGCGAGCGCGCGATTAATTGAATCCCTCGCTTGCTCCAGCTCAACCTCTCCCTTTCTGCCCTGTCTGTCTCCGGGCTAGCGGATAGATTTTTATTTTATTTTTAATATTTTTTATAAACTAATTTTAAATCTAATACTGTTTTTTTTTTCCAAAACTAACATTTTTACCCGCGCCTATTTCCTGGTGCGGCGAAACGCCTGTGCCGCATCATGCATGGTGGCGTAGCGAGAGGGATGACGTGGCGACGACCAAGGCGCTGACCGGTGACGTGGTAAGGTCTGCCGTGCCACAGATCTTGGCGCGACAGTGACGCGCCCTGATAAGTGGCGCACTCCCAAGTGCTGTCAGAGCCACTCCAAGTGCATGGTGATGTGACTAGTTGCAGTGTTGCCCCATCTGCCATGGCGCCATGCATGCAGGCCGGTTGCCTCGTGGGCATCCCCGCTCAGGATCCTCTGTGGCCACGATGGACCGGCTTTCCTACTATGGGGGACTGCGGCCATAGAGTGAGCAGTTGCACTGGATCCAGATGGGGCGAGGAGCCCATGCAAGACACAGACGGCGAGGCATCCAGGCGCGGTGTCCAACACGTCAACGCACGAGATCAGACGGCTGAAAAAATCGAGTGAGGGAAATCCAAATTTCACTCGGGTGGCATATAGATTTAGCGTTAATATAAATCTTCGTATATATACCTCAACTTAGGATTCGGCGGCTTCCTCAGCCATTCAGCCGAGCAGCAACCTCCCTCGCTCGTCCTCCCTCTCTATCCCAGGCCCAGGCGGCGGCCTCCCTCCTCCCTCGTCCTCCCTCCCTCTCACTCACCCATCCTCCCTCCCTCTCACTCACCCGTGCAGATCCGGCGTCCTCCCTCCCTCCCTCTCTCTGCTCAGATCCCGTGGCTTCCTCCCTCCCTCTCCCTCAACGGGCTCCCTCCCTCCCTCTCCGTCGGCGGCAGGCTCCCACTCGACGCCGGGCTCGTCGCGCCTCCTCCGCTCAGATCTGCCTTAGGTACGACTTCCTCCTTCCCTCCCTCCCTCCCTCTCCCTCGGTAGCGCGCGGCTAGGAGTGCGCACGAGCAGATCCGGCGGCTCCCTCCCTCGTTTTCTCCTCTCCATCTCGATCACCCTCTCTTCATGGCAGGACGGCGCGTCCAGCAGGAGCAGCGGCGGCGCTTTCGTAGGAGCAACAGCGCGACGCGTTCACATGAGGAGCAGCGGCGACGGTGCGCAAGTGCTCGATTGGGCTCGACCGTGGGCTCGATTGGTCTTGCTCGGTCTTTTTTTATTTTTTTTTAAAAATGATTAATGGAGGTGGGCTCCCTAATGCTCCCGCCTCCGTTAATGAATTAACCGAGGCGGCCAGGACAACCGTGTTCGTAAAGTCAAGATTAACCGTGACCTTCGATTGGATGTGGTTGCAAAGCCCGCCACCATTAACCCTTTTTGCCCGCCTCCAATAAGATTTATGTAGTAGTGTGTGTTTTGTTTCACAACTCTAATTGTCTAAAACCATGGCAAATAATCTTGGCTGGCATTCATTGGGCACTACAGTGTATGCCTTTGAATTCTATTTTATTCCACGATTAAGTATAACTCGTAGACCTTTTCTTAAAAAAAATCTGATGCTTAGAACCCTTTTGGTACTGTTTTGTCTAGCTCGGCTTTTGCCTCTTATAATAGTGTACAGAAGTATCGGAATCAGTGAAGCAAAAAATACTAGTTTCGTCGGTTCATGATTCATTTTAAAGAAAAAGATAAAAACAATACCTTACTACGGCGTATCTACAGTACACGGTGAAACCAAACCCTAAACCAGTCGGATCTATCTCCACCTAACGAGGCCTTAATTTACAGATCGATGAGTGACGCAGCAGGTAACATAAGAAGGATGACAGGCTGAGGTTGCCGCTATGACTGACCGGTTGAAGGGTTAAAAGCAACCGGAGCACATTTTGAAATCAAAAGAAGCAGAAGAAGGAACAACGAAGAAAGGAGCACGCGAGTAAGAACGCTGAACGAGACTCTGAATCTTAAACGGAAGTAGCACACGTGTTGAACAGACGCCTAGTCAGTCTTCCGGGGGAAATGGTCGTACGCATGCTGCTGTGCCCTTTTTTTTTCAGTTTTCGAAAAAGAAACTAATTCTTTTTCTCGTCTCTTTTTCGGAAGGAGGGTCACCAAAATTCAAAATGTGGTGTGATATACTCCATCTTTTGTTAGTAGGTTAACATCCCGATCAAAAAGAAATTCAAAACCATGTGCTGGTCAGACGAGTTGACCTTGTGCATGCACGGAGCTAGGTGACAGCTGTGAGGGCGTAAATCAATTCGCAGTACAATTAGACTATCGTTTTCTCCACACGGGTGCCTGTTTAGTTTTTAAAATTTTGCAAAATTTTTCAAGATTTCCCGTCACATCGAATCTTTAGACGCATGTATGAAGCATTAAATATAAATAAAAAATAAAACTAATTACACAGTTTAGACGAAATTCACGAGACGAATCTTTTAAACCTAATTAGACTATGATTGGATACTAATTGCTAAATAACAACGAACGTGCTACAGTACCATTTTCCAAAAAAATCGCCAACTAAACAAGCCCTGATTCCAGTGTACTTCCTTCTGAACAATAATCTGAATGTTTCTGATCGAGGGAGTTCACTGCGGAAAACTGAATGAAATATCTGCTGACCCAGCTAGGCTCGCGCCACGTGTTCCCTGAAGATGCTGCCTCTCTTCTTCCTCCGGATCCTAATCTTTTTCCTCGTCCCATGCAAGCAAGGGACAAGTGGCAGCGAGGCAGGGCACAGGCTCCTTTATTTTATCATTTTCATGTGGGAAATACACGAGAACTTTGCGAGAGGGTGTGTTGTTGCTGCGTTCCAACTTAACTTCCCCAAACGTATACTCAACTCGTTTTCTCTGATCTTCTGTCATGGCTGAGGCCATGACCTTCTAGACTCCAGAGACGTTGCATGCATGCACCATCTTCCCATGCAGTGAAATTTTCGTATTTTGGTCTTTTTGAAAACAATTTTTAGAAAAATACTAACGCCAAAACATTTTCTGAAAATAGACCATTTTTAGGCGTCTTAGCACATGACGCCGAGATATGAGGCTCGGCGTCGTGTCACTCGACGCCGAGGTACTGCCACGTCACGGAAGACCGGGGTCGTCGTCGACACGGTGGCGCGTGGGTCCAAGACGTCGACGTCGTGTCAGCCGTCGCCAAGTACCCAACCTCGGCGCGTTCAGACCGAGCGCCGAGCTCTGGCCCCATCCGGGCGCGCCCAGCGGCCCAACAAAGCACGGTGGCCCAGCAGACTCGGCGTTGGGTCACTTAATCCGAGCCTCCAGACCTCGGCGTGACCCGACTCAACGCCGAGGTCTGGACCTTTAGGCCGCGCAAAAGGCCCCTTCTTCTTCCTCCTTCATTCTCAAACCGCCGCCTCCATCTTTTTCTTCTCCTCCCGCCACCAAACAAACCCTAACCCCAAAATCGACCCCGGTGCCACGATCTCGGCTCCCGAGCTTCCTCGAGGTAATGGTCCTTCCCCTCCTCCATTCTATCCGCGTAGATGTGCTTACATTGTCCCTAATCATTTAGAATCATGGTTGTTTGGTGATTTGGTATATTTGTGTTTGCATTTGCAAAATGTATGGCTAAGGATGATTGAGTGCATTGTTGTTTAACTGTTTTATGTGACGAACATGTTAGGTTAGTTTGGTTTCTAGTTATATTGGTCATTAGGGTTATTTGTTTATTGTAGGTGTCATTAGGGTTAGTTATTTGTTGGTCATTAGGGTTACTATGTATTTTATTTATTTGTTGGTCATTACATTTCAATTTGTTATGACTAGAAATGATTATGTTGTTGGGGTTGAAAAACGATGAAATGATATATTTTAGTTTCTACTTATTGGATTGAAATATATTCATATGTTACACTACTTGTTGTGTGATGGTCAGAGATGGATAAATTAGTGAGGTTGCATCATGGAGGCCGTATTGTTAGGACAAGAGATGATAGTTTGGAATTTCGGACATGTGTGAGGAGTTGTTGATTTTTTCTAAAACACCATCTTTGACCCAGTTAGTGGAGCGAGTGAAGGTTAAGTTAGGCTGGAATGAAGGAGACGTGCATGTTCAGTTTGAAGGTGTCATAGATGTTGGGTCGTCAAGGGTCCTCGGATCAAGCGGTTGCTCAAAATTACAAACGAGTCTGAATGGAATGATTACAAAGCGCTTGTATTGGCCTCGAAGTGCGATCTTTGGATTTAGTAGTAAGTAAGGAGTCCGGCTTAGGAAATGACAACTTGAAGCATGGCCATCTTCCCCGCTCACATAGGTTATGGTCCTTTGCACGAAGAAGAAATACTTGTCACACAACTAGGCTACGTTGGAGATGAGGAAGAGAATCCGGTTCTTAGATGGTGAGGGCAATCATGATAGTGATGAAGAGGATGATGATTATGTAATTGTTGATGCAGAAGAAGGTTTGGACGACGCTAGCGGAGACTTTTCTATTGAGGATGAGCTTAGCGACGAAGATGATCTTAGTAGTGAAGAAGACTTTGGTGATGCTAGGGCTACGAACCGTTTTGACATGGAGATAGCTGGAGATGATGAGTCCTTCGTAGAGGAGATAGCCGAAGACTCTGATGATGATCGCCCTGTTGGTCGTCTAAATTTAAGGGAAATAGAG